GGCATGCAGAACTTGGACCAAGTCCAACCTGGGTGCGAACTGAAACTATGTGCAAACGCCCAGGATCTATAGCTACTGTAAACCTGACTTCCAGGCGAAGGCTGCTGGTAGTTTGTCAGCAAATCACGACGTCCATAACCGGGACTAGGCACTGGCCATTAGATGAGGTACCATCAACAGCAACAGGGCTATCAGTAGACTCACAGATGCTGCTAGAACACGTGGCTCGGGTATCCATAATTTCATTAACTGACGGACTCCACGCTATAGAACTAGGCTCAACAAACAGAGGGAAGGCAGCAAGCAACATTTCTGTTTCGACCCGCGCCCGGTACTTCTAATCAGCACGAACCGGTTCCCCAAGAGCCCGTAAGATCAATACAGAGAGAAGATCGGTCGGCCCGCGAGAGAGAGAGAGTCTACTCAGACAGAGCACGTTATAGTACGTCAGTGCAACTCAAGTCAGACAGAGAATGCATGTACTTTAAAGGGAATGCGAGAGATGTCATCTGATAATAGGCCAATCAGGATCGGAGGAAAAATCAATAGTCACGTCGCGTTCCCATGACAGCTGCGTAAGACGAGCTCGCGGGCCTTTCTGTGAAATGAATAATCATGGGAACGGGCGCATTCCCAACAATTTCCCGACTGAAAAATCCTTGAGAGTCATGAGACTAAAATAAGTCCACCGACGGTCTTATCGGATGTCATTCCTGACGAATATGATAACGAGAGCGTAAAGCAAACAATGTATCTGACATTCGAGATTTAAATAGACCGTCGAGGAAATGGCATGAACAGGCATTTGCGAGGGAACTGTGTACCAAACCGTGTTTCTTGCTGCAAGAAACAGAACTCGCTAAGCCCATTTGCTCCTAAACAAGTGTCGATTCTGCCGGAACACTAGTAGTAAATGGCTAGCAGAATCCTTCTCTATCTCCTCCCGAAAAGCAGTATGAGCAAAGGCAAAAAAGGCTTTAATCAAAAACTGTGGAATATACAAAGGACGTCGGAAAAAAGTAGCAGAATCCCTGATTGAAGATGACAGCGACTGAAAATAATGCACTTGTCAAACGCTGGCATGTCTCACCGGAAAGCGGGTGGGAGTAAACACCCTAGGAATCAGTGAATTTCGGCTGACGCTTCTCAATAAAGGCTTGAATACCTTCCTTTGAGTCGTTCTGAAGAGGAAAAAACCATGATTCGCAGTAGAGTTTGGAAAAGATCAGCAAATTAAAATGGACAGTCATGGGCTGGTAAGAATGGACATCACGAGATGGAACCAGAAGCCAGCCGACAATACATCCCGAACAGCTACCCGATTAAGTTACTGCCATGAATTACGACTGAAAGCAACTATCACTTATGTTGGTAGTATGAACATCAATGAATCTTCAGGGTGTCGGAGTTCAGCGGTGAATAGGTTTAAAGCAGCAAACTCTTACTTTTGATAACTAGCCATCAGGTTTGTAGCAGCATGCCAGCGAAAGATGAAAAACGACTTCGACTTGCCTTTGTATCACAATGCAATCCTCTGAATTGGCAAGTCTAGATGCTTATCAAGTCTCCCCGCATTATACCAGTGCAGATATAATGGTGAACAATCGAAACAGTGAATCTGTCAGTTGTAATGTCTGCAATACAAACAGTAAATTGCAACACGGATGCGGCATTAGCTGAATCACCTATCAAAATACGACTTTAAAGTGCGGGTAGACGCATTAGTGACACCTCAAGAGGTGTAATAGAAGACTTATTCAAGTTAATGAGCAATTGGACCACCCATACGTTAACGACCAACTACAATAAGGGACAGTTGGTAGACGAAGAAAACATACTAAAGCCCTTCAAGTTAGAGTATGGTATGGGGGGAAGGGTGCGAATGGGATCAGAAGTACTTGCACGGCACTATGCTATGAATCTGCTTAATACGGGACGCTCCTGTTGTTGGAGGAATCGGCTTCACGGATAGCGGCGGCTCGCTGGCGACGATCGCAAGTGAGCTCCACGCAGATGTCGACCCATTATCACAAGCCGTAAACGGTTACGAGGCCCATGCGTTCGACGTCCGACTTGACATTGCTGAGCCACGTCTTTAACTGACCGCCATGTCGGTATCTCCAGTTTGCACTACAAAAGGCGTTCCCGACCAATCTGCAGAGGTCCGTCGATGGTTTGCACAGGACATGGCCAAACCATTGCAATCGGTAACGCTGGATGTATGATGCTAGACTTGGCAGTTTCAAACACCTACTATATAGCTCAACATTGAAAATTCGATCCTGCATCGGCGGTGAAAAGGTCTAAATCAGCAAACACTTATCTTCGACTAGTTATCATCAAGTTTGTTCCAGCAGGCCAGCGAAAGACGAAAAACCCCTTCTTCTTGCTGTCTTATCACAATGCAGTTGGCAGACGAAAAGAACATACTATAGCCCTTCAAATTAGAGTACGGTACGGGGGTGGGAGAGTGCGAATGCGATCACCAGTACTTGCATGGCAGTACACTATGGATCTGCTCAATACGGGAAGCAGTAATTACCCTACCAGCAGGAAATTTAAACTGATCCGTCGGTGAACGCTCATCAATGAGTTAGGGGACTCTCCCTCGTCCTTTTCTGCTTTGGGGCTTACTCACGAGAATCGCCAGCAGTCGCAAAGTACCGTAGGTGGATGAAAATGACCCACAAAAGACAAGAGAGAGACTAGAATGGTCATTTCTGGGTCATAAGCCGTCATCAACCAGTCATACCCAGACCCAGGTGGTTCATCACCCGAGACTCAAACTCGCGACTTGTTGACTAGAAGTCCAACGCTTTAACCGTTGAGCCACGAGCTCACTGTCCTGCCAATGTCCGGCAATGTTCGTTTGCTAAAACTACCAGTCATCGTGCGGCTGCTGGCGGTACTCCAGAGAGTGAGCCCCAAGACAGAATGGGACGAAGGAGTTTCGTTAGCGATGGCGGAGCGCTCATCCACAAATGTCAATATTTCTGATCCAAATCGGCAAGGCAAGGAACCCATGGCGTAGTGGTTAAAGCATTAGGCTTTTGATCAACAATTTGCCATCGGAGCCTCGAGTAGTGCACTAGAGAGGTTGGGTATGATTGGCTAATGACTCAAAAATGACGATTCCAATCTCTTTTATATTTGCCGGTAATGTTCCAGTTCAATTCCGTTGGTGCTCTCGGTGAAAGAAAGGAGAGAATTTGCTGGCCATTCCAGAAATTAGCCATCTTCTTGACTGGTAACTATTCACGAAGGTTATTTGACGCACATTATAACGCACATAGAGAGCAAGCCGACGGCCATGGCCGTATGCAAATATAATGAACTGAGAAAGACCACAATAAAAAGGACCTCAAAGGCCTTTTAAATCCTCAATAGCAGAAAACTCACAGTGGCAAAACATCCAAAGAACGACTGCTTTTCATACTCCAGACCCTGCGATAAGGTGGTGTTGTGAGCTATAAAATAAACAGCAAAATATAAACACGTTAATATGACAGCAGATATCATGTGATAACAAAGGAGGCAGCAGGAATGAGACACCCTACCAGCATTAACAGACTCCTTCGCCGCACGAAGGGCCAGACTAGAGAACCGAGCAATTCTGTCTGCCAGGTCAACAGCCCTGCTGACGACCTCGTTGACCGGATAAACGCGGCTAATGAGACCCGCTGTGGCAGCCTCCTGAGCCGTGATCATTTCACCTAAAAGGTAAAAAAACGTGTTACCGATCTACACAAAATAGTAGCACGCACTCTTAAAATACTGGTTAGTTGCCGTCGCCGCCTACCTGACAGGATCATTTCCATGGCTCGAGACTTTCCGACCGCCCGGATTAGGCGTTGGGTGCCCCCAGCGCCCGGAATGAGACCCAGCTTAATCTCCGGTTGACCGAATTTGGCCTTCTCACCGGCGTAGATAATATCACACATCATTGCCAGCTCGCACCCGCCACCCAGGGCAATACCGTTGACGGCAGCAATCACCGGCTTCTTGCAGGCAGTCAGGCGTTCCCAGTGGGCGAAAAAATCGCGATTATAGATGTCGCTGTAGGAGAGGTCAGCGAATTCCGTAACATCAGCACCAGCTTAAAAACCAAATAAACACGAACGGGTAGGTTGAAGTAAAAAGACAGGTAAATCTATTAAATAATTCGTTACTGACTTAAAGGCGTAAACTGTCAAGTCTAAATGTTTTTTGAGAGAAATGCTTTATTTTGAAGGTAAGTATCCAAAATGTGGAGACGGGTTAAATTTCAGCTTCTGAATTACCGTTTCTTCACGCGTGAGGTAGCGTGCTAGGAATGGGAGTTGAGCGCTGATATGCCGAGGTGCGGCAAGACATATGACGGAAGCTTCGGCGCATAGTACGGGAAGACTCCGCAGCTATTAATTCAGAGTTGAGAGGATGACTGACCTCACTAAGAATACGATCAGCAAATTGCTTGACCGTTTTAAAGTGACGCTGATTTCGAGACACAGCACCCGGAAAAAAAAAGAAGTGCAAGGAAATATTCGAGTTAGGGCGTTAAAGTATGTCGAAAGGATTTAAAGAGGATAGTCATTTTATGCCATAAAGGTAAGTGTGTGCCTCTGGCGCTGAAAAAGCCAGGACAGACCACATCTGAAAAAAAAGTTATTAGACGCGAAATTATACCGGGTCCCATGGCAAAGCTGAAGTTTTAAGGCCAAACATAACTTATTTAGCAGAACCCGATGATACTACGAAAAGGCGTCTTATAACCAGATGGCAGGAATTAATCTAGTAATATAAAGGATCGGTAAAGGAGTTGAAACCTGTATACAACGGCTGGTGGGTCCAGCATTAAAAACAAATTGGCCTGCTTACCAGCAAAAACCTTTTCGTGGCCGGTAATCACCAAACATTTTATGGAGTCTTCTGTCTTCAGCGTCTCTAGCGCAGATGCGAGCTCACGCAGAAGGCCCGAAGACAGGGAGTTAAGGGTCTCTGGCCTGTTGAGAGTTATCAACGCGACGGCGTTTGACTGGCCCGTCCGATTAATAAGGAGACTCTCGTAAAAGCCTACGAGTGCCAGTAAACATAAAATGTTCGGCTTACCTGTGGACAAAAAACGTCCGACAGTGTTTAGTAAGGGTCCTCTGGGGGAGAGGAGGCGTGAAAGCATCTGAGAAGCAGGCAAGAATAAAAAGAAAGTGTAACTACCATATTCAAGACGATTTACTGGACTACCCTAAGGGAACCGTCAGTTTGCAAACTATTCCCACAAAAAATAAAAGCAAATTTAACTAGAAGCAGGCAAAAATTAAAGATAGACATGGAAATATGCCTCATTTGAGCATATAATTGCGGATTAAAAATAGCTCTGTCCAGTATACTTTACATTTCAGCAAAGTAAACCTGGAAGATGGGAAAATTATGGAAGCAAGGGGAGGAGGGATGAAAGAGAGCGCAGGGACAGGGAGATATAGGATTTGAATCCCGAGGACTGGCCGGACATTTGGCTTCCGTATGTGCGAGTGACCAGTCAGAGTTTCGTCAACGATAAGTAAGCTGCAGTAATGAAGTGGAAGTCGCTGTGCATGCATACCACACACGTGCTGATTCTTCGATCTATATGGACGCAAATTTGACAAAAGACAGATCCAACAAAACTGAAGGACGCACGTCCATACATAGTCTACACTTTTGGAGAGCTGCGTTGGTTTAATGGTCACCATCTATTTGTAACTACGACCGGGTAGGCAAATGTGATGATTGAATGCACTAGGAGTAGTGCGAACAGGTAAGGTGGACATGAAGAGTGCTGGGACATGTATGCAGTAGTAAACCTAATCACAACTACCACACCCAATCACTGGCTGACAGGCTCAGACAGTCCACTGTTGCATGGGAGAGCAAAAAGAAAGGTCGACTCTGAAAAATCCATTCCCAAGGCACCTTCAGCGAATTTCTTCCTATAGTGAACTAGATCCACTTTAAATTAGCACAAGGAGCTGAAAGTCATGACCTAGAAGGTTGTAAACTGACCGCGTAATTCGGTCTTTGCGTTAGAGGACTGAGTCAGGCTCGATTGTTCCTTCTCAATGTGGCCTCTATAGCACTCCGACCTATATGGAATTCGAGCCTCTTAGGAAGATAGAGAGCATGCTGTTGGGTGTATCCTGGGCATGGCTGGCTGACCACCTAACACACGTAGACGGAACCCTGCAGTTCTGTCCGCCTAATCCCGACATCAGATGGCTGACCAGTCCAAACAGTACTTGGTACGGCTGTGATAATACCTGATCAAGCCGGCCTCGAGGGCGTCATGTATGTGATACGTTGCGGCAGCGGATCTGGAAAGCCCAAACCCTTCTTTTCTCCAGCGACGGACACTGAAGGTCCGAAAACCACTTCCATGTCTTGATGAACTGAGTTGGGCCAGGTCTTGAGTTGATCTCTTCAAGGCCTAGAGGTGAGCAGTATAAGGGCTCGTGCAATCCTTCAATAATAAAGCCGCCATGCTCAACAGTTTATTTTTAATGTGG